GTTGAGCGCGAAAAATATGATAGACCGAATTAACATCTGCGATGTGCTGCTGAAACGCAATGAAATCGAGCCATTTCTGAAACGTGTCATAACCGGTGATGAAAAATGGATCACGTACGACAATCGGAAGAGTAAAAGATCGTGGACAAGGGATGGTAAGCCGTCAGAAGCGTTCGCGAAGCCAGTATTGACGCCGAGAAAGGTGATGCTGTGTTTGTGGTGGGACTGGAAGGGAATCGTCCACCATGAGCTACTTCCAGTTGATCAGACGATTGATTCTCAACTCTACTGTGGACAACTAGAGAGATTACGCTAGGCAATTGAAAGAAAACGGCCCGAATTGAATAATAGGAAAGGTCTTCCATCATGATAACGCCCGACCACATACTTCTTTGATGACTCGTCAAAAATTGCGAGAGCTTGGTTGGGAAGTTTTGATGCATCCACCGTATAGTCCAGACATAGCACCCTCTGACTATCACTTGTTCCGATCTCTGCAGAACTCTCTCAATGGAATTAAGCTGGTTTCAAAAGAAGCCTGTGAAAACCACTTGATTCAGTTTTTCAACTAGAAACCACAGAAGTTCTTCACCGATGGCATCATGGCTCTACCCGAAAAGTGGCGAAATATTGTCGATAATAATGCAGCATATTTGGTTTAAATAAATGTTCATACTATAAGAAAATCAGTTGAATTATATTAAAAAAACGCCACGAACTTTTTCCCAGACCCAATACAAGTGGCCGGCTGGAAAAGTCAAAATGTCGAAAATCAAAGGCTGAAATCAGATTTTACGACTAAGCTTTGTTGTTAGGCAACATATGGTTTTAGATTAGGGAGATGTAGGTTTCAAAGTTTTAGAGCAGGAATGTTTCGAGTTGCTTTGTTCTACTGGAGTTCTGTTAGCGTAGAGTTTCAAATTTTATAACTAGGCCGACGGACACACTTGGCGAACACTACTCAGATATAAACTCTAGATTTTTACAACTGGGCACTGTTTCCTGTTAGGAAATTTTCCTGAATCGCCTTTCATTTGGCGTGACGGCTGTTCGCCAGATGGTCTGTTTCTTATATCCGTTGTTATATTAGGAGAATAGAAGTTCGAAAGGAGAGAGAGAGAAAAGGAAAAAAAGAATTTTTAAATAATTGTCCGGAGTTCGCAAGACGTAACACTTCACGTGTCTCATTATTATTTTCAGTTGCTTCTTAGGGATGAATAGTATCCCACCGCTCTACCAGTTGTTACGTTTCGACGTTATGTTCAAAACGTAATGATTATAATAATTTCTTCGTGAATAGGGGAGAGACAATTTTTATAGAGAAACGAGTTTATTTGAATATATGTATATACTGGGTGAAGAAAAAACCCCGGGACCCTTGAAAATTTCGAAAAATATACATTTTATTAAAAATATTTCAGACAAAAGTTGTAGCGTTGAAAAAGATCTATTTACCGATCTTAACAATTTGACCTTGGATGACGTCATCAAGGTCAGGACAAGATCACCTCGGATTTTTTAAATGGAACCCCCAATTTTTTATTACATATTCTTATTCGGGCGTTCAGGCTCGCAAGTCTGGCGGTCCAGGCACCTGAACTAGAGGGAAGGAAGAACCCTGACTAATAAACCCAGGCGATCGGGCCTGTGAGTCTATTTTCCAAGACACCCGAACAAAGGGAAGGAAAACCCAATGTAAAAACCGAAGGATGGGAAACCCACGAAAACCCGGGACTCGTTAGTTTGGGAGGTTGCCAAACAACCCGACGAGGGGAAGGACACCCACTGTAAAAACCCGGGTTAGTGGGCTCGTTAGCCTTGCGCAACCTATTCCGGAGATTGGAAACTCCGATATCAAACTCGGGCGAGAGCTCCAGAGCTTAACTTCGTGGGCAAGTAATCTATTATTAGGGGAGGAAGAACCCCAATGCTAAATCCGGATGATTGGGCTCGTTAGGCTCATGGTGTCAGCCAACCGAACCAGGGGAAGGAAACCCAATGTAAAAACCGGGGCGTGCGGGCTCGTTAGCCTTCGGGCAACCGCAACAGAGAGCAAATCTGACAATAACCGGACGTTCGGACTCGTGAGTCTGGCAGTCCAGGCAGCCGATACTAGGGGAGGAAGAATCCCGAATAATAAACCCGGGCGATTGGGCCTGTTAGTTTGTTGAACAGACACCAAACGAGGGGAAGGAAAACCCAAAGTAAAAACCCGGGAGTTTGGGTTCGTTAGCAGCATGGCGACCAAACCGGAGAGGAAAACTCCGATTAAAACCGGTCGGGTGTTTGGACTCGTTCCGGGGCGGTGCTTGGGACTCGCCAAGCCTCGGGGCGACCAAACCGGAGAGGCAACTTCGTGAACAAACCGGTCGGGTACTCGGACTTGTGAGACTGGTTTCCCAGTCCACCGAGGAGGAAGGAAGAACCTCAAAGAACAAACCCGGGGAGGCGGCCTCGTTAGTCTAGTGAGACAGCCGAGCGTATGAAGTCCACAAGGCGGATGTTCATGTGGTTTAATTCCTCCACATGAGCGCTGCCGAATGGCAACACCCGGTGAAGCGCGTGGCGGACCCCGTGAGTCCTGGTCGTCGAGTTGGACGCCTTCTGGTCTCTGGGAGTGGCGGATAGTCGGCAACGGGGAGCGAGCGCTGTCGTGCACCCCCTGATCCGTTAGGCCAATGCTCTTGGTGGCTGGGGGGACCTTCGGATGCCGGGGGGCGGAGGATAGTCGGTAACGGTGGGCGAGCGCTGTAGTGCACTCACTGATCCGTCAGGCCGAGGTCCTGCGACATCCAGGGGATTCGCTCGACGGTGGGAGCAGGGGTGCTCCCGGGGGACGGTGCGGGGTCTACGAGGGTGTAGGATTGTACTGCCATCTAGAATAAATGTGAGTGTAGGGGGAGGGGTTCCGGAGGGGGCTGGAGACGGCGCTGATCCTCGAAGGGTGGGGCTGCGGCGGTGGCGGCTGGAGCCGTCCTCGCTCCAGTGCCGGAGAGGATACGTGCGTCGAATGAACCAGCTTAGGTCGCCTCCGAAGGAGAGGTCTCTGGGTGCCGGGTGGGCATTCCTTGAGGAAACTTGGGGGATGCACTCATCGGTGCCCTAGTTTCACCCTGCGTATGATACCAGCCAGCTGCTAAGGGTGTATGGGTCGTGGAGGCATGCCACTGCTGGGAGTCGATTCTGGTCGGCCGCTCTGGGGGGCTGCCGGGAGGGTGCCGGCCCGCTGATCCTCCCGGGTCTCGGCGGGCTGGTCCAGCCTGGCGGCCCCCGGGGGTGTGGTAGATTGGAATTGGCGGCGGTGATGAAGCCTCACGGATGCACTACTGCAGCATTGGGGGCCTCCCGCAACTGGTCGTCCCCTGCGCCGTTCTCGGTCCTGTAAAGGGTGTACTTCGACACACGATACCGCACCCGGAAGGAGTTCGGCTGGTATAAGTGCCTGATGGCACAAATTTTAGGGTGTCGGGGTTGCATGGGGGATAAACGAGGTCCACTATCCACCATCCACCATTCAATCAACGGTACAACACCTGGTGTCCTGGAGCACACAATCGGGGTGATCCATCCAGGAGGGAGTACCTCGGTGTTCGGCGGCTGGAGATAGTCGGCAACGGGGAACACGCAGGTGGCGGGCGACCTGATCCGTCAGGCAAAAGTCGTCGAGCACTGGGACCCTTTTGGAAGGAATAGCCGTTGATTGTGCCAGGCTGCTGGTCATCGGATGGGGAAGGGGAACAAAAAAGCGTCCCCTTTTTCCTCCCCGTGGGCGCCACCTTGACGTGGTGGGGGAGCTTGCGTGCCCTGATGATGTACAGAGCTGTGCCGGCGGGGACTTTGGCCCCTGGCAGGTTCTACCATGCCGGAGTGGTCTGTACAGAGGGGCCAGACTAAGAGCATCCATAACACTCCTGGATGGGCTGGAAACCTGGAGGGTCTCATTCGTGGGGCCCAGAGGACCTTACAGCGCGGGCAGAACTGGCTCGTGAACTGGGTGAAGGCCACCGTTCTAGGGGAAGGATAACCCTGATTGCAAATCCGTACTTGTCAGGACGTACAATCTGACACAATTGCGAGGGGCCAGGGTGCTTCGGCACTCTGATACTCAAGCAACCCCGGCAGACCCTAGCCTACTGTACCGTAACCCTAGGTCATGTCTCTGGGGCGACGGTCGTGGAGAGAGGGGGCGGGGTGTTGTTGGCGGTGTAACTCGACATCAAGAATGCCTTCAACACCCTGCCCTGGCCGGAGGTGAGACGGGCCCTCGAGTATCACGGGGTGCCCGTATACCTCCGGCGCATATTGGCGGCCTATTTTGAGGGCAGAGACCTCGCCTTCAATAAAGAAGGTGGGGTTCCAGGTCGGCACGCTATGGAACGCGGTGTTCCGCAGGGGTCGGTTCTCGGCCCCCTGCCATGGAACATCGCGTTCAACCGGGTGCTGCGTACTCCGCTTCCCCCGGGCTGTCACGTCGTCTGCTACGCGGACGACACCTTAATGGCAGCCGGGGAGAAGATCTGGGGGAAAACTCGCCTCTGCGCAGAGGCTGCAGTGGCATCGGTGGTGGGAACCATCGAGGACCTGTGTCTGAAGGTGGCGCCCCATAAGACTGAAGCCGTGTTTTTTCACGACGGCAGTCGAGGGACGCCGCCCGTGACCCGGGTCCTGGTAGATGGCGTCCGCATCCGCGTCGGGCAGACAATTAAGTATCTCGGCCTGACGCTGGACGGCCGGTGGGATTTCGGCCCGCATTTTAGGGACCTGGCCCCCAGGTTGCGCAAAGCGGGACTGGCAGTAGCCAGCCTGCTGCGCAACCTTGGGGGTCCAGGATGGAGGGCTCGCCGCCTATACGCAACGGCCGTGCTGTCGATCGCGCTCTATGGGGCGCCGATCTGGGCGCCCCAACTCAGAGCCTGCCGTGAGGGCCTGAGGAGCATGAGGCAGGCGCTAAGGCGCCTCTTTTTATCAGGGCAATTAGGGGGTACAGTACGGTCGCGTATATGGCGGCGACCACCCTGGCTGGCTTCCCTCCCGTGGAGCTCATCGCTGAGGAGAGGAGAATCCTGTACTGGAGGATCAAAGAGCTCCGCGAGGAATGGGGCCTAAGGGCCAGGGATGAGCGGGCCTTGAAATCCCAAGCTGTGGCCCGTACCCACGAGATGTGGGCGGACATACTGTCCGACCCACGAGGGTACGGGCTACAGACGGCAGAGGCCGTCCGCCCCTGCCTGCCAGAGCTAGCGGGCAGGAGGGGATGCGGATTGTCCTTTCATCTGGTGCAGATACTGACAGGTCATGGGTGTTTTGGCAAGTATCTGCACCAGATAGGAAAGGAGCTCACCACCAGATGCCACCACAGTTCCGTGCTAATGGACACGGCGCTCCATACCCTGGCTGCTTGCCCAGCTTGGGAAGAGGAGCGCCGTATCCTGGCCGGGGCCATAGGGTGGCGGGATGGTGAAATATCGTTCCCGCGCATGGTCGCGTTCATGTGCGGGAGTGAGGAAGATTGGAAAGCAGCGGCCTCCTTCTGCAAGGACATAATGTCCAGGAAGGAGGCCGCCGAGAGGGAGCGCCGGCCACGCACAACCCGTAGTCGACGTCGACCGCGGGGTGGCCGGCAACCCAGGGAGGGGGATAACTTAGGCAGCGGGCCCGAGGTGACACCGGTCGAGGAGGAGGAAGGACCCCCGAATAGCGGGAGTCCAAGCCCTCCTCGGCCGCCTCGGGCCCGCCTCCATCGGCAAGGGGGATCCGGCTCTTCCTTGTAAGAGGAAGATGGATCTCCCCTGGTCACGAACAGGGAAGGGTAGGGGGGAGTGGTGCCCGTTTTGGGAGCGGGCCCACTCCCCCCAAAAAACCCCACCTTCCCGACTATAGGGGAGGGGGGTAAGGGGTGAGGGCGGATGCTCCCTCACCCCATAGGTGACACCAGAAGGCCAACCGGTTGGTCTTAGACCGACCGGGACCGCGCCCTGGATTCCCTTTGCAGAACAGGGCGCGGTAAAAGATGGCGGGGGGCTCGACAAACGAGCCCTGGAGCCGGAGGGTTGAGGAGGGAATACAGGAGTAGTTCCCCTAACTCCCCTCCTTTCGGTCCGACAGGTAGGCATCCCGCAGGGGTTTTAGTCAGTAAGAGTCTGACATAACCCCCGAGCCCCCCAAAGAGGGTCGGGGGTATCCATGATTTCCCCTGCGTGAACAAAAAACATAAAAGATCAACTGTACTGTAGATGAAGCTGAACAATCACGAGCTCTTGCTGTGCATGATATTAAAAATGATAATCTCCTACGCTGGCATTAAAGTTTGGTCACCTGAACTTAAGAGATCTGAAGCAACTGAAATCTCAAGACATGGTAATCGGATTGAATTTAAAAGGTAACTCTGTACAACTCAATTGCGAAATCTGCAACAAATGTAAAATTCATCAGCTTTCTTATAAAAATTCGACTAAGGGAGAAAAAGAAAGGCTCGGATTAATATACTCTGATATTTGTGGTCCCATGAATATTTCCTCATTAGGCGGAGCAAAATACTTTGTTACTTTTATTGATGACAGGTCTTGACACATAGAAGTTGCAATGTTAAAGAAGCGTTCAGATGTTATAACAGCTTTCAAGATTTACAAGAAGTATGTTGAAAAAGAAACAGGTTGCCATATTGTTGCGCCCGTGCTTTTGCGAAGTATCGAGGTGTGTTCACATTGCTATGATCAAGAGTCCCTAGCAACGAAAAATAACAACAGCAGACGGAGAGTTCTTGGGAAGCTGTCAAGATAGACAGACGCGAGATTTATTATTCGGAGAATTATTTATGCGAGAGTCTGTACAAAGCTGTAAATAGTAAAGCTTCCTTTCTTTTACACAAATATTCTTATTTCCTCGAGTGCGTGGTGTGAGTGTTGCTAATTAAAGAGTGAGCGCAACATTTTGGGGGCTCGTCCGGGATAAAAGCGAATCGTTTAACATCGGACGTAAAAGAGAGAAAGGAGAGGATGATGCATTCGCCGAGGGTGACCCGAAGCCAGGCTTCGACGGCGGCGTCAAGCTTGAGAACGGCGGAAATGGATCAGAGAGTTGAGACGGATGCGGAGGCTGTTCGGCGGCTTCGGCAGGAAATGCAGCAGTTTGGTGAAGAGCGTAAACAAGAACGGTAGGAACTCCTTGAATTGCGGCGTTGGCAAAGGACAGAGGAGCAGGGACAAGGAGAATCCGGCGGAAGGCGAGAGCAGGAAAATCCAGGCCAGTTCAATTCCGTTTCCTTAAAATTAAAACCCGATATTTTTGACGGAACCGAGCCGTTTTATGAATACATCACACAATTTGAATTAATAACGTAAGCAAATACTTGGTCGGAAAGAGAAAAAGCTTTAGTTTTTGCGGCAAAACTTAGAGGAAAAGCGCGTTCGGTTCTTGATGGTGTGGGGGAGAATTTAAATTATAAGGAGATCAAATCGAAGTTAGAATTACGATTTGGGGAACAGTTTCGTTTTCAAAATTATTATTTTCAATTAACAAATAGAAAAATGAAATTTGGGGAAGATTATGCGACATACGGGTACGAGTTAGAAAGATTAGCTCGTTTAGCCTATCCTGAATGTTCGTTTGAAGTGCGCGATAAGATTGCTTGTGCGCAATTCATTGCTGGGATGCCTGAAGGATTTGTGAAGCGCACCTTACAATTAGAAGGAATGGTATCTTTAAATTCAGTGATTGAGCGGGCAAAAATAGTGCAAACAATTTCAGAGGGGGATTTTTCGCAGAAGCAGCGTTGTAATTGGAAGGTGCGTCCAGAAATTCAAAAATTTCAGTATGAAGGTACAAAGAAAGACAAGAATTTTCCGAAAAAGGAAAAAGAAAATGTTAAAAAAGAAAAGGGATTCGGTAGAGAATGTTGGCAATGTGGAAGCGTGGGGCATTTCCGTGCAGATTGCCCAACTTTTGTTAATCAGCACCCAAAATAGGAATTGTCGAATGGTTCGGGGGAGATTCGGCAAAAACAAGTAGGACCCCGATTAGGAATAAGACTAAATTAAGTTGCGTGACAAACAATTTTTGTTTTTCGGGAAAATTAGACGGTAAGCCTTGTAAATTTAAGGTAGATACGGGTTCGGATGTATCTATTATAAGTAGGAGTCTAGTGAATCAAGGAAAGTGAATAAAGTAAAAAATAGTTATTTTTCCTATCCGACGGGGGAAACAGTACCTATTCACTGTAAAGTGGATGTTACCGTGGAATTACCTAGGAAAATTCGTGTCAACCTTTCCAATGTTTGTTGCTGACATTAATGAGGAATGTATTCTTGGAACAGATTTTCTTTCAGCAACAGATGCCGAATCAAGTCTGAGATCTGCTTTAGGAATTCAGACATTGGATGGGTCTAGAAGGAAATTTAATTGTTCGCGTGTAAATCTTGCTGTGCAAGTTCCTGATTTCCTTTTTGAATTGCTCGAACGAGATTCAAAGAATTTAAGTTTCGAACAAAAGGAAAAATTTGCTGAATTATTAACCGAATTTCAGGATATATTTTCTGAAAATATTGTTGCGGGAAATTGTGAAATGGTAAAGCATAAAATTGAATTGTCAGATCCTCGCCCAATTAAGCAGTTTCCTCGTCGTATTCCTCTCCATTATCGCTCAGAGGTTGATGAAATTATTAAGGAAATGTTGGAAAAAGGAGTGATTGAGAAATCGCGGAGTCCATGGATGTCTCCTGCTGTGATGGTAAAAAAAAATGGATCTTTGCGATTTTGCATCGATTATAGGAAGTTAAATGCTGTGACAATTAAGGATTCATTTCCGATACCACGCATTGATGATACTTTAGATCGTTTAGCGGGAAATGTTTGGTTTTCAACGCTGGGTTTGAGAAGCAGGTATTGGCAGGTGAAAATCCGTTCGGAAGATAAAGAAAAAACGGCGTTTTCTATCGGTACAGGTTTATGGCAGTTCACTGTGATGCCTTTTGGGCTTTGTAATGCACCAGCAACCTTTGAACGATTAATGGAACAAGTTTTATAGGAGTTATTATCTAAAATTTGTTTGGTATATTTAGATGATGTAATTATTTTTGGTGAAACGTTTGAAGAAATTATTCAACATTTGAGAACTGTGTTTTTACGTTTTCGGAACGCTGGTTTAAGTTTGAATCCAAAGAAATGTATTCTTTTGGGAAAGACTGTTAAATATTTGGGTCATGTCATCTCAGAGGAAGGAGTGACTACTGATCCGGAAAAAATTGCTGCAGTCAAAGAATGGCCAGTTCCTCAAACAAAGAAACAGCTCCGCAGTTTTTTAAGAGTTTGCTCGATATTATCGATATTATCGAAAATTTGTTAGGGGATTTTCTTTAATAGCGAAACCTCTTTATTCTTTGACAGAAAATCTTTCTAAATTCTTGTGGTCGGAACAATGTCAAAAGTCCTTTGAGAGATTAAAGAGGAATTTAATTTCTTCTCCAGTATTAATTTTTCCTTCGGAGCAAGGAATGTTTATTTTAGATAAGGACGCTTCGGATTGTAGAATCGGAGCAGTTTTGTCTCAGATTCAGGGAAAATCTGAGAAAGTAATTGCTTATTTCAGTCAAGTTTTGAGTAAAACTGAAAGAAATTATTGTGTCGAGAATTATTAGCTGTGGTAAATTCAATGAAATTTTTTCACCATTATTTGTATGGTAGAAAGTTTATTGTCCGAACGGATCATATTTCTTTAAGATGGTTGATGTCATTTAAGGATCTTGAAGGGCAGTTAGCTCAATGGTTAGAGAAACTTCAACAATATGATTTCGAGATTCGATATCGAAAAGGTAGTTCTCATCAAAACGCTGATGGGCTCTCACGTCGACCATGTGAATTGCTTTCTTGTAATTATTGTAAGAAAGTCGAACATAAAGAGTTGGAAAATAAAACTGGAACGATCGGTCGAATTGTTTTGGGAAAAAAACAAGTAAACTGGAGGCAGGCTCAGTTGGAGGATGGAATTGTCTCTATTTTTCTTCTAGGAAAAGAACAAGGTCGACGTCCAACTTGGCAGGAAGTGATATCAAAGGGTCCTCCTTCAAGAATTTACTGGAGTAACTGGGATGCCTTACTAATTCAAGAAGGAGTTCTTTTTAAAAAATGGGAGTCACCGTCATTAAGCAATAAACATGTTTTACAAATTGTCGTTCCTCAAAAGGAGATTAATGTTATAATAAAAGAGGCTCACGATTCTCCTTCAGGAGGGCATTTTGGTGTAAATAGAACGTTAGCCAGAATTCGTTCAAGGCTTTTATTGGGCCACTTGTAAAAGAGATGTTGAAGACTGGTGTAGAACTTGTAAAATTTGTGTTGAAAGAACGGGTCCTTCTGATAAAGGGAAATCTCCTCTACAGATTTACAATGTTGGTGCTCCGTTTGATAGATTGCAAATGGATATATTAGGTCCTTTTCCTATTAGCTTTTTAGGAAATAAGTATCTTCTGGTCATAGTTGATTATTTTTCAAAGTGGGTAGAGGCTTTCCCACTTAAAAATATTAGAGCCTCTTCAGTAGCTGAAGTTTTCGTTAGTCAGATAATTTCTCGACATGGAGTTCCCTTGGAAATTCATACTGATCAAGGGAAATATTTTGAATCAAAGCTTTTTCAGGAGCTTGCTCTGTTATTGGGAATGAAAAAGACAAGAACAACCGCTTTACATCCACAGTCGGACGGTCAAGTAGAACGACAACACAGAACAATTTTAGATTATTTGGCGAAATTTATCTCTAATCATCAGAAAGATTGGGATCGTTGGATCCCAATGTGTCTTTTAGCTTATCGTTCTTCGAAACATGAAATTATGAAATTTACTCCAGCAGAACTCTATTTTGCTCGAAATCTTCGTATTCCTCTAAATCTTTTACGAGGAAATTCTCCAGATGAGGAACAGTCTTTTTCAGAAAAATCTTATATTTTTAAATTAAGAAAGAGGTTAGATTCAATTCATGAAACGGCTCGTAATTCTTTGTTTATTAAATCTGAAAAGGTAAAATCATCACACGATAAAAAAGCTAGAGATGTTTTTTCAATTGGA